CCCTGTGACATGGTATTGTGTTACGTCCCCGTGACATGGCACTGTGTTTCGTCCCCGTGACATGGTACTATTTATAGTCCCTGTGACATGGTATTGTGTTACGTCCCTGTGACATGGTACTGTGTTTCGTCCCCGTGACATGGTATTGTGTATAGTCCCTGTGACATGGTATTGTGTTACATCCCCGTGACATGGCACTGTGTTTCGTCCCCGTGACATGGTACTGTGTTACGTCCACGTGACATGGTACTGTGTATAGTCCCTGTGACATGGTATTGTGTTACGTCCCCGTGACATGGCACTGTGTTTCGTCCCCGTGACATGGTACTATTTATAGTCCCTGTGACATGGTATTGTGTTACGTCCCTGTGACATGGTACTGTGTTTCGTCCCCGTGACATGGTATTGTGTATAGTCCCTGTGACATGGTATTGTGTTACGTCCCTGTGACATGGTCTTGTTTTACGTCCCTGTGACATGGTATTGTGTTACGTCCCCGTGACATGGTACTGTGTTTCGTCATGGTACTGTGTTTCGTCCTTTTGACATGGTGCTGTGTTTCGTCCCCGTGACATCGTACTGTGTTACGTCGCCGTGACATTGTACGTCCCTGTGACATGGTACTGTGTATATTCCCTGTGACATGGTATTGTGTTACGTCCCCGTTACATGGTACTGTGTATAGTCCCTGTGACATGGTACTGTGTTTTGTCCCCGTGACATGGTATTGTGTATAGTCCCTGTGACATGGTACTGTGTATATTCCCTGTGAAATGGTATTGTGTTACTTCCCTGTGACATGGTACTGTGTTTCGTCCACGTGACATGGTACTGTGTTACGTCCCTGTGACATGGTACTGTGTATCGTCCCCGTGACATGGTATTGTGTTACGTCCCCGTGACATGGTACTATGTTTCGTCCCTGTGACATGGTATTGTGTTTCGTCCCTGTGACATGGTCTTGTTTTACGTCCCCGTGACATGGTATTGTGTTACGTCCCCGTGACATGGTACTGTGTTTCGTCATGGTACTGTGTTTCGTCCTTTTGACATGGTGCTGTGTTTCGTCCCCGTGACATCGTACTGTGTTACGTCGCCGTGACATGGTACGTCCCTGTGACATGGTACTGTGTATAGTCCCTGTGTGACATGGCATTGTGTTTCGTCCCCGTGACATGGTGCTATGTTTCGTCCTTGTGACACGGTACTTTGTTTCGTCCTTTTGACATGGTACTGTGTTTCGTCCCTGTGACATGGGACTGTGTTTCGTCTCCGTGACATGATACTGTGTTTCGTCCCTGTATGGTATTGTGTATAGTCCCTGTGACATGGTACTGTGTATATTCCCTGTGACATGGTATTGTGTTACGTCCCTGTGACATGGTACTGTGTTTGGTCCCCGTGACATGGTACTGTTTATAGTCCCTGTGACATGGTATTGTGTTTCGTCCCTGTGACATGGTACTTGTGACATGGTATTGTGTTACGTCCCCGTGACAAGGCACTGTGTTTCGTCCCCGTGACATGGTACTATTTATAGTCCCTGTGACATGGCATTGTGTTACGTCCCTGTGACATGGTCTTGTTTTACGTCCCCGTGACATGGTATTGTGTTACGTCCCCGTGACATGGTACTATGTTTCGTCCCTGTGACATGGTACTGTGTATAGTGTTTCGTCCCCGTGACATGGTACTGTGTTTCGAACCCGTAACACGGGACTGGATTTCGTCTCTGTGATATGGTACTGTGTTTCGCCCCCGTGACATGGTACTATGTTTCGTCTCCGTGACATGGTACTATGTTTCGTCCCCGTGACATTGTGCTGTGTTTCGTCCCCGTGACTTCGTACTGTGTTACGTCCCCGTGACATGGTACTGTGTTTCGTCCCCTTGATATGGTGATGTGTTTCGTCCTTCGTCCTTTTGACATGGTACTGTGTTTCGTCCCCGTGACATGGGATTGTGTTACGTCCCCGTGACATGGCACTGTGTTTCGTCCCCGTGACATGGTGCTATGTTTCGTCCTTGTGACATGGTACTTTGTTTCGTCCTTTTGACATGGTACTGTGTTTTCGTCCCCGTGACATGGTTCTGTGTTTCGTCCCAGTGACATGGTACTGTGTTTCGTCCCCGTGACATGGTATTGTGTTACGTCCCCGTGACATGGCACTGTGTTTCGTCCCCGTGACATGGTACTATGTTTCTTCCTTGTGACATGGTACTTTGTTTCGTCCTTTTGACATGGTACTGTGTTTCGTCCCTGTGACATGGTCCTGTGTTTCGTCTCCGTGACATGATACTGTGTTTCTGCCCTGTGACATGGTACTGTGTTTCGCTCCCGTGACATGGTACTGTGTTTCGAACTCGTAACACGGGACTGGATTTCGTCCCTGTGATATGGTACTGTGTTTCAACCCCGTGACATGGTACTATGTTTCGTCTCCGTGACATGGTACTATGTTTCGTCCCCGTGACATGGTACTATGTTTCGTCCCCGTGACATGGTGCTGTGTTTCGTCCCCGTGACATCGTACTGTGTTACGTCGCCGTGACATGGTACTGTGTTTCGTCCCCATGACATGGTACTGTGTTTCGTCCCCGTGACATGGTACTATGTTTCGTCCCCGTGACATGGTACTATGTTTCGTCCTTTTGACATGGTACTGTGTTTCGTCCTTTTGATATGGTACTGTGTTTCGTCCGCGTGTCATGGTGCTGTGTTTCGTCCTTTTGACATGGTACTGTGTTTCGTCCCCGTGACATGGTACTGTGTTTCGTCCTTTTGACATGGTACTGTGTTTCGTCCTCGTGACATGGTACTATGTTTCGTCCCTGTGACATGGTATTGTGTTTCGTCCCTGTGACATGGTACTGTGTATAGTCCCCGTGACATGGTACTGTGTATAGTCCCCGTGACACGGTACTGTTTATATTCCCTGTGACATGGTACTGTGTTTCGTCCCTGTGACATGGTACTGTGTATAGTCTCTGTGACATGGTATTGTGTATAGTCTCCGTGACATGGTACTGTGTTACGTCCCTGTGACATGGTACTGTGTATATTCCCTGTGACATGGTATTGTGTTACGTCCCTGTGACATGGTACTGTGTTTCGTCCCTGTGACATGGTACTGTGTATAGTCCCTGTCACATGGTACTGTGTTTCGTCCCCGTGACATGGTTTTGTGTATAGTCCCTGTGACATGGTATTGTGTTACGTCCCCGTGACATGGCACTGTGTTTCGTCCCCGTGACATGGTACTGTGTTACGTCCCCGTGACATGGTACTGTGTTACGTCCCCGTTACATGGTACTGTGTATAGTCCCTGTGACATGGTATTGTGTTACGTCCCTTTCGTCCCCGTGACATGGCACTGTGTTTCATCCCCGTGACATGGTACTGTTTTACGTCCCCGTGACATGGTATTGTGTATCGTCCCTGTGACATGGTAATGTGTTTCGTCCCCGTGACATGTTACTGTGTATAGTCCCTGTCACATGGTACTGTGTTACGTCCCCGGGACATGGTACTGTGTTACGTCCCCGGGACATGGTACTGTGTTACGTCCCCGGGACATGGTACTGTGTTACGTCCCCGGGACATGGTACTGTGTTACGTCCCCGTCACATGGTACTGTGTTTCGTCTCCCTATTTATAGTCCCTGTGACATGGGATTGTGTATAGTCCCTGTGACATGGGATTGTGTATAGTCCCCGTGACATGGTATTGTGTTACATCCCCGTGACATGGCACTGTGCTTCGTCCCCTTGACATGGTACTATATTTCGTCCTTGTGACATGGTACTGTGTTAAGTCCCCGTGACATGGTATTGTGTATAGTCCCTGTGACATGGCATTGTGTATAGTCCCTGTGCCATGGTATTGTGTTACGTCCCCGTGACATGGCACTGTGTTTCGTCCCCTTGACATGGTACTATGTTTCGTCCTTGTGACATGGTACTTTGTTTCGTCCTTTTGACATGGTACTGTGTTTTCGTCCCCGTGACATGGTACTGTGTTTCGTCTCCGTGACATGATACTGTGTTTCGTCCCTGTGACATGGTAATGTGTATAGTCCCCGTGACATGCCATTGTGTGGTACTGTGTTGACATGATACTGTGTTTCGTCCCTGTGACATGGTAATGTGTATAGTCCCCGTGACATGGTACTGTGTTTCGTCTCCGTGACATGGTACTGTGTTTCGTCCCTGTGACATGGTACTGAGTTTCGTCTCCGTGACATGATACTGTGTTTCTTCCCTGGGACATGGTACTGTGTTTCGCTCCCGTGACATGGTACTGTGTTTCGAACCCGTAACACGGGACTGGATTTCGTCCCTGTGATATGGTACTGTGTTTCACCCCCGTGACACGGTCTTGTATTTTGTTTATGTGACATGGTACTGTGTTTTGTCCCCGTGACATGGTATTGTGTTTCGTCCCTGTGACATGGTACTGTGTTTCGTTCTCGTGATATGGTTCTGTATTTCGTCCCCGTGACTTGGTGCTGTGTTTCGTGCATGTGACATGGTACTGTGTTTTGTCCCTTATCCTTATATTACTCTATAGAACACTGTTAGTATCTAATGACATACTTATATAACCGGTACTTTCAGTATAAATTAGAAACTCAGTTTATTTCAGTAGCAACACACAAGGACTTAATAAGAAATCAAAGTCGTCTATGGAAACACATCANCCCCCTCCCAACCACTGGAATGGCCTACGACCCCCGTCCTCAGGAAAGATATAACTTTGACATTCACCGTAATGGCCTACGACCTCCGTCTTCAGAAAATATATGACTTTGACAACCACTGCAATGGCCTACGACCCCGGTCCTCAGAAAAGGTTATAACTTTGACAACCACCGCGTATTGTCTACGACCCCCGTCCTCAGAAAAGATATGGCTGTGAGAACCACCGTAATGACCAACGACCCCCCGTCCTCAGAAAAGATATGGCTGTGAGATCCACCGTAATGACCAACGACCCCCCGTCCTCAGAAAAGATATGGCTGTGAGATCCACCGTAATGACCAACGACCCCCCGTCCTCAGAAAAGATATGGCTGTGAGAACCACCGTAATGACCAACGACCCCCCGTCCTCAGAAAAGATATGGCTGTGAGATCCACCGTAATGACCAACGACCCCCCGTCCTCAGAAAAGATATGGCTGTGAGAACCACCGTAATGACCAACGACCCCCCGTCCTCAGAAAAGATATGGCTGTGAGAACCACCATACATTTACTATGGACGAGAAGCTTTGAACAGAATACTGTCCATTTACCAACGTTGACGTTGTCATTGTACCGGTACTGGTTACTTCAAAATAGTTATATTCAACAGGTTCATTGAGTTCAAAATTTCCATCAATCTCATTGTATATGACGCTGAAATGTCGTGACCACTTTGCAGTGAAGATCTCATTAGCAGTATCGTAAGAAACGCTGTCCGCCAATGACGTCATTGAGTAGGAAACTGCCGGTAACTCCACGCGGATACGAAAGGGCTGTCCTGCATAAAACACATCGTTTATGTTTGCATTTCCGATAAAATTGTCCGTGATGTCGATGAGTGACCTATGAACTTCCGTCCAAACGGCCTTGTCTACGTACCACTGGACAGTGACGGTGCTGCTGCTATTCCAGAGAACCGTTGCACTATCTGGACTGAAACCATACGTGCGGACGGTTCCAGAAGTGGATACAAGAGTTATTGTCCTGGTCCATGAACTCGTAGAGGCATCTACGTCATCAAGATCCAATCCTAAAGCCAACATGACGGACACCGTGGCAGATTGTATATAAACGGTGTCAACTTTGGCGGAACGACCGTCATATATGACCTTAACCCTGTGTCCAGATTGGATGTACGTGATCAAGTCGGTCACCCATCCATACAAACGCAACCCACTTTCGTCGTTCGAAAATACCAATTGCCAAGGGTCTCCGGCCAGAAGTTTAAAGTCTGTCGGATCCGACAACGTCATGTTCGACCCGGTATTCCAGTTAATGTCAAACATGTTAACTTTGTTCAGCAGTTTGCACGTCCAGGTGGTATCGAACTGACTCGGTTTCCAGGCAAACTGACCAGTAACGTTTCGGCCGAAGTACACGTCATGTAAAGAATAAGAATCTAGTACAGTTTGTACTCTGATATCAGATCCATTCATTATGGCCGATGTTAACATGGACTCGCTAGGTGTTGTAGACTCAAACACTGACACACTTTGTTTGTCAGTAGCGTACCAGCTCATCCAGGCCTTGCGGGTTGTAGAAGACGCGGTGCCGGACACCCAGCGCGTCACTTTCAGTTCCCCAGTAGTGGACGCTGTCAGTATGACACGGGTCGACACCCCCGTTATCTCCATGTTGTGTACTGATAGAGCATATATTAGATTCAAGTTCTCCACATAATCAACATTGACGACGAGGTCTACGTTGGTGTCAAACGAGTGGATCAGGACCCGGATGTCAGCACCTTTTTGTATCGCCTGACCTAGCGACGTCACGTTACCGAATTCTGAGTTTAAATTGTGCGTGTAAACGTGGCGGAATCCGTCTCCAGCTGCACAAATATACAAACAAATGTATAATTATGGATGTCAAAAGCATACGTATGTATATAAACACCGGCCTATTGTTGGTAAATAGGTTGGCACTCAGAGAACACCCTGTATATAATTGGTGTTTAAGCATGTAGAAAAAACAGCCTTTTAGCAAAACTACCTTAAAGGTCTAGGTCATAGTGCTGGAGTTTTGTCTTTGTTTCATGGCTAATCACTAGAAAAACAAAGCTCAGGAAGCGCTTATTTGAAAATTTACCAAGTTTAAGTAGGAAGCCATACAAATTAAATAGTTATACGTAAGAATCTCTGTGACTTTGTTGTCCGTCAAGTTAAAAACAGCTTCCTGATACAGGAGTAATGTCCTCTACACCAGACTCAAACGTACAATTGATTAAAAACAAAAAAGTGTAACACTACAACTCATATATGTCATTTCAAATGATAAAATAAATCTCTATTTCCTATATTAAGTACATTTTTGAAGCAGTTTAAATAAATGGCACATATTACATTTTCTGGTGAGTTATTCGATAAAACTAGTTCATATTAAAAACCTATTTCGTTTATTTAAAACAGAATGCTACATTGTTGGGGATATGTTGACAATATAACCGAGATTAATCAACAATAGCTCCATATTGGGAGTTAAACGCAAGACACACACAGGTGGTAGCACCAATAACATACGGTAATAGGTACAATCCGCCAAACATAAAGTACACTACATCATACAGCTGGTAACATACGGTAATAGCCACAATCCGCCAAACATATAGTACACTACATCACACAGCTGATAACATACGGTAATAGACACAATCCGCCAAACATAAAGGACACTACACCTTACAGCTGGTAACATACGGTAATAGATACAATCCCCCAAACATAAAGTACACTACATCATACAGCGGGTAACATACGGTAATAGACACAATCCGCCAAACATAAAGTACACTACACCTTACAGCTGGTAACATACGGTAATAGATACAATCCGCCAAACATAAAGTACACTACATCATACAGCTGGTAACATACGGTAATAGATACAATCCGCCAAACATATAGTACACTACATCACACAGCTGGTAACATACGGTAATAGACACAATCCGCCAAACATATAGTACACTACATCACACAGCTGGTAACATACGGTAATAGACACAATCCGCCAAACATAAAGTACACTACATCATACAGCTGGTAACATACGGTAATAGATACAATCCGCCAAACATAAAGTACACTACATCATACAGCTGGTAACATACGGTAATAGATACAATCCGCCAAACATATAGTACACTACATCACACAGCTGGTAACATACGGTAATAGACACAATCCGCCAAACATATAGTACACTACATCACACAGCTGGTAACATACGGTAATAGACACAATCCGCCAAACATATAGTACACTACATCACACAGCTGGTAACATACGGTAATAGACACAATCCGCCAAACATATAGTACACTACATCATACAGCTGGTAACATACGGTAATAGACACAATCCGCCAAACATATAGTACACTACATCATACAGCTGGTAACATACGGTAATAGACACAATCCACCAAACATAAAGTACACTACATCATACAGCTGGTAACATACGGTAATAGACACAATCCGCCAAACATAAAGTTCACTACATCATACAGCTGGTCCGTCCTTTTAGGACTCATCGGTGATACTAAGAGCCAAAAGGTTGGAAATCCAAATTGCCCTAGCTGCTGTAGAATGGTGACATCACCATCGTTAACTGACAATATCATAGTAATTGGTTGACGACATATTGTTCGTTTTTCTTAATTATATAGCAGCAGCGTATTTGCTCTATTACGACAATGATCGTCCAATTCTCGTTGATCTGCGGTCACATGGCATCATCAGGTGGTATTGTTATTCTTTAAGGTGAAATCAATCATTTAAAGACCAAAATTCTAAAGTATAACTAACGATATCCTAGAAAGGATCGAACGTTATCTCGGTAAGCCAGAACAGAGTATAAATACCGGACCGTCAGCACCAAAGGGGAAACCTTAGCTTAAAATTGATTGGTAGATACAACAACAGGAAGTGATGAGACACGAAAACAATACGAAAGTCAACAATAGGATGTGGGGAGACACGACAACAATACGAACGACAACAATAGGAAGTGGGGAGACACGAAAACAATACGAAAGTCAACAATAGGAAGTGGGGAGACACGAAAACAATACGAAAGTCAACAATAGGATGTGGGGAGTCATTAAAACAATACGAACGACAACAACAGGAAGTGGGCAGACACGAAAACAATACGAAAGACAAAAACAGGAAGCGAGGAGTCACTAAAACAATACGAAAGACAACAACAGGAAGTGAGGAGTCACTAAAACAATACGAAAGACAACAACAGGAAGTGAGGAGTCACTAAAACAATACGAAAGACAAAAACAGGAAGTGAGGAGTCACTAAAACAATACGAAAGACAACAACAGGAAGTGAGGAGTCATTAAAACAATACGAACGACAACAACAGGAAGTGGGGAGACACGAAAACAATACGAACGACAACAACAGGAAGTGGAGTGACACAGAAAACAATACGAAAGACAACAAAAGGATGTGGGGAGACAAGAAAACAATACGAAAGTCAACAATAGGATGTGGGGAGACACGAAAACAATACGAACGACAACAACAGGAAGTGGGGAGACACAGAAAGAATACGAAAGACAACAAAAGGATGTGGGAAGACAAGAAAACAATACGAACGACAACAACAGGAAGTGGAGTGACACAGAAAACAATACTAAAGACAACAAAAGGATGTGGGGAGACAAGAAAACAATACGAAAGTCAACAATAGGATGTGGGGAGACACGAAAACAATACGAACGACAACAACAGGAAGTGGGGGGACACAGAAAGAATACGAAAGACAACAAAAGGAAGTGAGGAGTCACTAAAACAATACGAAAGACAACAACAGGAAGTGGGGTGACACAGAAAGAATACGAAAGACAACAAAAGGATGTGGGAAGACAAGAAAACAATACGAACGACAACAACAGGAAGTGGGGTGACACAGAAAGAATACGAAAGACAACAAAAGGATGTGAGGAGTCACTAAAACAATACGAACGACAACAACAGGAAGTGAGGAGTCACTAAAACAATACGACCGACAACAACAGGATGTGGGGAGACACGAAAACAATACGAAAGACAACAACAAGAAGTGGGGTGAAACAGAAAGAATACGAAAGACAACAAAAGGATGTGGGGAGCACGAAAACAATACGAAAGACAACAACAGGAAGTGAGGAGTCATTAAAACAATACAAAAGCCAACAACAGGATGTGGGGAGACACGAAAACAATACAAAAGACAACAACAGGAAGTGATGAGTCACTAAAACAATACGAAACACAACAACAGGATGTGGGGAGACACGACAACAATACGAAAGACAACAACAGGAAGTGGGGTGACACAGATGGAATACGAAAGACAACAAAAAGATGTGGGGAGACACGAAAACAATACGAACGACAACAACAGGAAGTGGGGAGACAAGAAAACAATACGAACGACAAAAACAGGAAGTGGGGTGACACAGAAAGAATACGAAAGACAACAAAAGGATGTGGGGAGACACGAAAACAATACGAACGACAACAACAGGAAGTAAGGAGTCATTAAAACAATACGAAAGACAACAACAGGAAGTGAGGATTCACTAAAACAATACGAACGACAACAACAGGATGCGGGGAGACACGACAACAATACGAACGACAACAACAGGAAGTGGGATGACACAGAAAGAATACGAAAGACAACAAAAGAATGTGGGGAGACACGAAAACAATACGAACGACAACAACAGGGAGGAGTCACTAAAACAATACGAAAGACAACAACAGGAAGTGAGGAGTCACTAAAACAATACGAAAGACAACAACAGGAAGTGAGGAGTCAATAAAACAATACGAAAGACAACAACAGGATGCGGGGAGACACGACAACAATACGAACGACAACAACAGAGAGTGAGTAGACACAAAAACAATACGAACGACAACAACAGGAAGTGAAGGGTCACTAAAACAATACGAACGACAACAACAGAGAGTGAGATGACACAGAAACAATACGAACGACAACAACAGAGAGTGAGTAGCCACAGAAACAATACGAAAGACAATAACAGGAAGTGAGTAGACACAGAAACAATACGAAAGAGAACAACAGAGAGTGAGGACACACAAAAACAATACGAAAGACAACAACAGAGAGTGAGTAGTAGAAACAATACCAACGACAACAACAGAATGTGGGGAGACACGACAACAATACGAACGAAAACAACAGGATATGGGGACATACGAAAAAAAAAAAGAACGACAACAACAGGAAGTGAGGAGACACAGAAACAATAGGAACGACAACAACAGGAAGTGAAGGGACACTAAAACAATACGAACGACAACAACAGGAAGTGAGGGGCACAAAAACAATACGAACGACAACAACAGGAAGTGAGGGGTCACTAAAACAATACGAACGACAACAACAGAGAGTGAGATGACACAGAAACAATACGAAAGAGAACAACAGAGAGTGAGGACACACAAAAACAATACGAAAGACAACAACAGAGAGTGAGATGACACAGAAACAATACGAAAGAGAACAACAGAGAGTGAGGACACACAAAAACAATACGAAAGACAACAACAGAGAGTGAGATGACACAGAAACAATACGAAAGAGAACAACAGAGAGTGAGTAGACACAAAAACAATACGAAAGACAACAACAGAGAGTGAGATGACACAGAAACAATACGAAAGAGAACAACAGAGTGTGAGTAGACACAGAAACAATACGAAAGAGAACAACAGAGAATGAGTAGACACAAAAACAATACAAACGACAACAACAGGAAGTGAGTTGACACAGAAACAATACAAAAGACAACAACAGG